TTAAATGTTGCTAAAGTAGCTGAAGCTGTACTTGGAGTGTTTTCCATATAATGTGTACAGTTTGCAGGTAAAACTTTTAAAGGAAAGTGAAATGTAACTCAGAAAGCAGGATGACGGTTCTAGTATATGGTAAATGGATATTCTGTACTCAAGTCTATACTTCTACTATAGACTTTCCTTTTTAGTTTAATGTTTTCATTAACAGTCTGCACAGTCAAGGTGATGAGATCTAAGGATCTAAGACACCTGGCCAGAACTTGTAAATCATGGTAGTGTTGAGACGTCTAGTCTAATTTAAGCATGTTTAATTGGAGCAGTGGACCTGCACCACCACAGGATTGAGCACTAGATTATTTATTTGACCAGTAAGTTTAGGGTAATCACACTCTGCAGCCTGCAGCACAGCCTTACCCTTTAAACAATGAAATGCACCCTGGTTAAAACCTCTTGATTAAACCTTGTGTCCAGCCAGACCTCTAACATACTTCAGTTGAACTTGGGTTTAGTATGTTTTCCCAACCTGTTAAAGACTCGTCCGTAGGTATCTGCTGCTGACTGGAAGCTCAGTCTTAGGGGCAGGGGAAATCTCATTGTACTGTGGGAAAAGGTACTGTGTTTAGGGTTGGTTATTTTTAATGCTTGATCTGTAAAGAGATTACAGTGTATTAGTGGTTGGATGGGGATTTCAGGGTTCTGGCTAGAAGGCAGTTTGGTGGCATGCACTGGCCAGAATCCAGATTTCTGCTACTATTCTAAGTGCACTTCCATGCAATTCTGATAAAATGTTTAAGGAGCAGTTAGAAGCTTCCGAGCAATTACTTTGTTGTGGTTTTGACTTTTGAAGATGAATTCAAATAAAGGCCATTTAATTTATAAAATCCTACCTTCATCTTAACTCCAGTCCTTTCTTCTTTGTGGTCCGTATGTTTCATTTCAGTATCTCCCTAAAAACACTTCTTGCCAGCTGTGGAATGCCGCAGGGAAGACACTGAGACGTGCAGAGGCTTCAGCTTTTGGCTTCCATTACGTATTTTAGAAAAACAGTTTGGGTCAAATTCTGTTGGAGCTGGCCAGGATACTGCAGGTGCACCCTTGTATGGGAACACTTCCTATGGGAAGCCATGCAAACAACACCCCCTGGGGTTTCTTGTTAAATCATGGAAGTGTGACTGTCCAGCAGGGCTTTTCTGTTGAAATGTTTACAGCTTCCATCACTTTAATGCCCCTGGATGTCAGGTTTGTAGTGGTGACATCCTTGTGTTCTCAGTTCTGGTATCTCCCAATGAGGAAGTGATACCTGGCTTGTAGCAATGGCTGGTCAGAAACTGCTGGTGACTGTACCCTGACTGTCTGTGCAGAGCCATTCCCTCACGGTACAACTTGGGTTTGATTTGCAGCAATTTATGTAGGAATTATTTAACAGAAGATTCAGACCAGAAGTATTGACTGGAAAATGCATGGTGGTTCTCCTTTAACTCTGATGACATTAGTGTGTGACTAAGAAGCCATGTCTTGGCACTTGCTCGCTTGGCATCAGAGGAATTCATGGCACTGCTTTCTGTGCTGTGATGAGCATCCAAGATAAACCTAGCCATAGACTCCTACTGCTGCTGAAAAGCGTTGTGTCTCTGATGCTAAATACGTCAGTGCAAACATGTTCACACACATGGTATGTCTTACTGGTATTTGCTGTTTGATTTAAAAAGGCGTTCTGTTGAGGTGCATGTGTGTATAGTCTCGATTCATCTCATCTGTGTGCAGAAACTCGTGATGAAAACAAGCCTTATTAGATAGCAAGCAAGTGAATCTGGGCTTCTAAATCCAGTGGAGAGTTGCTGCAGGAGGGTGAAGTACTCTGCCAGGGCTGCTCTCACCTCGTCAGCACCTGATCTTGTAGCCCCCAAGTGCCCATTGTTGGTGTTAATGCAATCTGGCCACTTGGACCTGTGAAATTCCCAGTGTCTGGCACAAGGAGTCAGCCTTAGTAGGTCAGTTAGTGAAGAGGGAGGGGGCAGAATGGGAGGAGACAATCTGGCAGTCGAGCTTGCTTTTCTAAATGAATCTGTCTGATAAATTGTTGTCAGCATTAATTACCTAACAATTGCTTCATGTGGAACTACAACAATACATCCCCCTGGTCTCCTTGCACTGGGTAATAAGGCTTTGTAAAGCACCCCATCTATAAGGAAGCATTCATGGTGTACTCTGGATCCATATGTCATCTGATTGACAAAGGCTGACCAAACTTGCTTCCAGACTTTTTGATAGTCACTGGTAAGACCAGCATAAGAAGGGTTAACCACTCCTATAGTACAAAGGCTATGGTAAGTCACTATAAAAGCAAATGAGGGGTGTGCTTGCAGTTCTAAAGCTTTTGTTTGGTTTAAGTATACTAACAATGACAAGGTTTTGGCCTGGTTTGGGGGTGGGTTTCTGCCTCCTGTCACAGTTGTGTTGATTGTGCTTCATTCTCCAAAAGCAACTGATTTTTCAGGGGGTAAACTACATTATTCTCCACGTGATACAAACAAGGACTGTTGAAACCACGACGAGAACTTCCTTTCCCTTCCCCACTCTCCCCAAAACTCCAGAAAATACCCAGCACTTAGTAAAAGTGTGGTCACTACAGGCTTCCTGGGTCTCTCTTCTAGTTCTTCTCACGTTTGTTCTGCCTTTACCTCGTACTCAGACACTGGGTTTTAAGATATAAAACAGTGAAGCTTCTGTGAGCAGTTTTAGCAGCCCCATGCAGCGAGCTTCCCTTCCACACCCCGAGCGCAGGGGGAATAAGGAATAAACTCACCCTGGTGTACTCAGCAGCCGGAGCGGCGGCCAGCAGCGCGCACCGACGGCAGAGGGAGGTCTTGCGCCTCCGAGAGAACGTCCCAGCCCTGCGCTCCTCACCGTCCTCCTCCCCTGGGGTTCAAAGAGCTTCTCCGCTCTTGCAGGGGAGGTTCACGCCTCATCCCCGCTCGTCATGGCCGGCGCTTCCCTTCGCCCCGCCACAGCCTCCCTTGGCGGAGGGAGCTTTGCTCTGCAGCAGGGTTTTTGAGATGCTTCGTGCAGCCACGGGTCCAAAGAAGGTAAAAAGAAGACTTTGCAGCAGGCTTGCCGCTCTGGAGGTGGTTATTGTGCCTGTGAGCTCCTTGGGCTAGCCCATGTGGGTCAGGGGCTGGAGCTGTGCCCGGGGCTGGTGGCAGGGCCGCTCTGGCCACGCCGGGGCTCCACTGCTCCGGTGCTGAGAAACCACTGCCGTTTCTAGGCTGGGAATCATTGCAGAGCTTCTCCTCCCCTCTGGTCTCTCTCCGTCCTGTGGTGCTCTGGCTCATAGGCACGGGCAGGTCACTTTCTCCCCGATCTCGGTTTTTCCTCTAGCACATAGCAGTTTTTTCTACGTGCGGTGGTTGGAACAGATCTGATTATTAACGCTGCAGACAGAACAGAGGAGCAGGCTTTGCTTCTTGAAAGAAAACCACCCAGTTGGGTTCCTTGTACAAGTGTCCTCAGGGTAACCACATCCGTGGCAGGTGGAGGAGCAAGGGGGCACCTGCAGCAACACCCAGGCTGCTGCCCTCCTCACCATGAGGTGCTGCTCCCCACACCATGGGGTTCTGCATCTCTGGACCCCTGTGGGAAGTGGGGTCCTGGCCTCTGTGATTTGCATCCCCCAAAAGCCTTTGGGGGCACATTTTCCCTTGAAGTTCAGGTTTATCCAGGGATGAGCCGGGCAGATAAACACCTGCTGAAAGCCACAAGCAGCTCTGCAGCAAAGGAAGGACGGGATCTAGCTCCAGAGCATGTGGCTGGAGGGGAAGAGTTCACAAGCTGGTCTCATCTCTCCAGGACTGTGTGTGGCTGGCAGGACACACTTCACAAGCTGCTCCTGGCCTCAGGAAAGACAGACTGAGCTCAGCCCCCTGCTCTGCAGCCGTACCAGTGGAAAGCTTTGCTCCTCACTTCTGCATTTCATGTGGGTTGTGGCTAAACAGTAATGTGTGGTCAGTGAGGGCCGGTGTCTGACGGCAGATCACGAGTGACCTGCCACCATGGGCCCTTTCCCGAGTGACAGGGCCAGGCACTGACTGGGAGTGAAGAGGCATTCCCAGCAGGTCCCGTTCCCCCTGCCGCCACCAGCTGTCTTGGCCCGGAGCTGAGCCTGTCTCCTGCAGCAGGTGGCTGGACCCATGCCCTGAGCCTTTCCAGTGGGGAAATCCCCACGTGAGCAGGAGGGATGGGGTGAGCTGGAAGCTGGGGCTGGGAGTTCCAGCTGCCAGGCCGGGGGAGCCGCACTAACACTGTCCTAGCACCACTGCAAGGCCTGGGCACTTTCTCATGGGCATATGTGCCAAAGGGAGCATGTGCCTGTCTGGGACTGGTGTTTTGCTATGCCTGTGGGGAAGGAAGGAGGGAAGAAAACCAGGGGCAGCTTGCTAAGGGAGGCTGTGCTGCCTGAAACCTGCCCGGTGGAAGGGAGAAGCATGTTCAGGCAGGTGCTCCTGACCCTGCCTGTGGGAGGGAGTCAGCAAGGGCTGCGCTGGACCCAGCCGCTTGCTCTGGGAGTCACTGCTCTTCGCAGAGGATTATTAACCCTCGGCCAGGCTGCGCTCAGCTCTGCTCCGGAGCAGCGGGACGCGGCGGAGGCTCGCCCTAATCTGCACCGCAGTCCTCAGCGGTGGCGCAAGGACAGCCACGCGTGGGGGTCCGGGGATCACTCTCGCAGCACAGCGCTTTCCTCCAGACCCGCTGCTGGGGGTCTCCCGGGCTCGGGCACAGAGGCCGTGGGGCAGTCCCACAGCTCCTTGCCCTGCTTCCCTCCATGGGAAACACTCCGGGAACAAGCCAGAAATGGCTCGTTCATGTTCATCATCATCGGCAGCAGCGATGCTCTCTACACCGGAGCCCCGTGGGCAATCCCCGCGGGGCCGACACCTGCCGGGCTCCCCCCGACGCAGTCCCATTGGTTCCGGGGACCAGGGGAGACTCCGCCTCTCCCTCCCCATTGGGTCCGGTGCGGAACGACCCCGCCCCGCCCGCGCCGCCTCCCGGCCCCAGGTCCATATGAACGGGCGCGGCGGGCGCGGCGGTACTGTGGTTCAAGATGCCGCGCTCCTTCCTGGTGAAGAAGCACTTCTCGGCCAGCAAGAAGCCCAACTACAGCGAGCTGGAGAGCCAGGCCGGTGCGTGCACGGGGTGCGGCGGGACGGGGCGCTTCGCGAGGTCCCCGGTGCCTCCTATGCGGGAGCGGGAGGGTGGAACTCTCTCCATGTGGGACTTTCGCATGGGCAAGGGGGTGTCGTTTCCAGTTCCGTGCAGTTCGGCTGGGATCGGGTGCGGGATCCCCCGTGTCCCGCGATGTGGAGCCGCCACCTCATATCCTGGGGTGGGCGTGGGGAGCGCCTCATGGTGGAGGTGGGCAGGGGAACTGGGCTCCTTTCGCGCTGCTCCTCTCTGCAGGGCGGGCAGGGGCCCCGAGCCCCCTTGGATCTCTTTTGCTCCGGGGTGGGCTGGGGCTCTGGGACCCGTCGGGTGGGCTGAAGTCCCTCTGGCTCCGGGGTGGGAAGCGGGGATCCCACGGGCTGGCCTAGGGTCAGGTCTAATTGCTCTGGGGGTGGGTTTGGCCAGCGTTTGCCCTTGTTCCCACTGAGTGCTGCCGCCTCCCGCAGTGCTGGCCGCCCCTCTGCTGTACGAGACATGCCCGCTGCCCGTCATCCCTCCGCCCGAAGTGCTCGGTCCCGGTGCCTACTACCCGCCGCTGGTGTGGGACGCGGGGCTACTCTCCAGCCTCTTCCCTGGCGGCCCGGGCAGCGAGGCAGCGGGTGGCACGGCCCCTGCCCTGGACCTGACGGCGCTCTCCAGCGAGGAGGATGAAGGCAAGAGCTCGGGGCCCCCCAGCCCAGCCTCAGCCCCCGCTGCTGCCGAGCGCTTCCGCTGCGCCCAGTGTGCCAAGGCTTACTCCACCTTCGCCGGGCTCTCCAAGCACAAGCAATTGCACTGCGACGCCCAGGCCAGGAAATCTTTCAGCTGCAAGTACTGCGAGAAGGAGTACGTGAGCCTGGGGGCTCTCAAGATGCACATCCGGAGCCACACGCTGCCCTGCGTCTGCAAGATGTGCGGCAAGGCCTTCTCCCGGCCCTGGCTGCTGCAGGGCCACATCCGGACACACACCGGTAATGCTGGCTCTTGCTCCTCTCCCTCCCTCCCTTATCACCTCCCGCTTCCCAGCTCCGCAGCCCCCAGCGAATCGGTGGGCCAGGTGTTATCTGGGAAGATAAGGGCTTCCCAAACCCCCTTGGCACATCTCTCTAAAATGTCCTTTAAATATCCTCTTGGCTGGAACAGAGCACAGGGTCAAGGCTCAGCTTGTAAATCTGTGCCACCACTGTTAGTGCTGTGCCTATCCATGAGCCAGCACATGGGCCACGGTGCAACAGAGCACGCTTTTGCTCTGTGCTATAGACTGGGGCACTGCTGCAGCACTCCCTGTTCATCACCATGCCCAAAGCCATCTTCCCTGCCCTCACCAAGGGCTTCCGGCCAGGCTCTCCAGGCCTGGCTGCCCAGCACTGTGGCCTCCAACCTGTGGCCCCACTCAGCAGTGGTGAGCTCGGCGTGGAGCACACCGAGATGCACCGCAGCATCTCATGAGCCCTGCAGGCAGGTGCTGGGGGTGCGGGGCCGGCACCCCCAGCACCAGTTGGTGCGGGTCCGGGTGCCGCAGCTGCAGCCCACCCCATTGCCTGTACAATGCATCTCCTGAGCATCCTTTGTGGGTCTGCGGGATAGTGTAATTGTGACTTGGCACTGATTTCACACCCTCTTAACGTACTAAAGATGATGGCTGAAGGAAGCCGGGAAGACTTAATCGTGCTTTCCAAATTGAGCATACGCATTTGTTTCCTCCAAAAGAGTCTTTCTGGGAGGAATTCGCACTGGCCGGGCTTTTCAATGCGAGCCGGGCAGGAGAAGGGGGAGCGCGGGGTTCAGCGGAGGAAATAGCTGTACTCACCCTGGCGCTGGCGCCTCGCAGCCGCTGCCTGCTATGATATAATTAACACATAGCGCTTGGCTTTCCTGCCTCTCTGCAAACGGCTCGCTTGGCTCCAGGCAGGAGACAAATATCGTGTCTTCGTTCGTATGTGCAACTGCCTTGCTGCTTGCAGATATTTCCAGCATTATTTTTCCATGGTTCGTGGGAGAGGTTTTTTTGGGGAGTAGGAAATTCCCGAGTCCTCCCCAAAATGAATGCTGTACATACCTCCCCAGGCTTTTCCTCGGAACAATAACAGCCAGCACTTCTTTTTCAATGTGCTCTTCACAAACTTTGGCTAATGAATGGCTCCTTCTTTGATATTCCCCATGTGTTGATGCACTGGTTAATTGGGAGCATTTCTCTTTGTCCCATAGGTGAAAAGCCCTTTTCCTGTACACACTGCAACCGGGCCTTTGCTGACCGCTCTAATCTCCGAGCCCACCTGCAGACCCATTCAGATGTAAAGAAGTACCAGTGCAAAACCTGCTCCCGGACTTTCTCCCGTATGTCTCTGCTCCACAAGCACGAGGAGACGGGCTGCTCGGGCTCTCGCTGAGGACGCTGCTTCCCCAGGCCTCTCTCCACACAAATCCCTATATTATACCTAGTTTCTGTAGGAGTTAGTTTCCTCCATCGCAGCGCACACCGAGACCCTCACACTCCTCGCTCGGTGCCTCCTATGCAATGCGAAGGCCTGATCCTCCTCCCATCCTGGCGTCCGAGGGTGCAGGATTGGACTCTGGAGCTAAGCGTGGGTGCCAAAGAGTGAAGCTCTAGGGGTGCAGCCCTGAGCCCGACCCGCCGCTGCCGCAGCCCCCATCAGGTGCCCCTGCTCACTGGGCACCTTGCAGGACTGGTCCTGCACCCTGGCCCCAGCACTGCGACCATATAGCTTGGGGGGAGGGGAGGGGGGGAGGGCTGATTTTTGGTTTTGTTTTTGTTTTTTTTTACTGTAACCACTCAGTAACTTTTAAGAACCAATATTTTTTTAATGAAGGACAAGATGTGCCGTGTCCCCCAGCTCCCAGTGTATATACGCCGCCTGTAGAAGGTGTAACTATGCAATAATATAGTATCCCGGTAGTTGTGAAGCAGCTGCTTCTCCCCAGCACAATGACAATTTGCAATGCCTGCGAGATTAACAGTGTCCGTAAAAGGCACGGGGTAGCCATTTCAAACACCAGCCCTGTTTACAGAGCAGCTATGCACTCAAGCACCTGTTAATATGACTCTTAACAACTGCTTTTCAAGAGAACTGTGACTAATAGCAGGCACTTGTCAGTGATACAATGGTGGCCTGTCCCAAGGCTGCCCATCGACAGGTGTGTGCCAAAAGCCCTATTTATGGGTATTGACAGGTGCCTCCTGAATGCATCTTTCTTTGGACATTGTTTTCATGGAATCATTACAAAGAGGATGTTTACATTTCAAAGGTACACTGGTATTTATATATATATTTTTTGTTTTCTTTGGTGCCACAATTTTGTACTGATGAAACTTTTTATATAATTATATACAGTTTATTGATATTCAATAAAATGGTTAATTTATAATAGGGTTTTGTGGGTGAAGAGGTGGCAGTGATGTGGGGACTGGGGGGTTGGGTGCTCTGCTCCTAGCCTCTGGCTGCAGGTGAATGAGTGGCATTCACATACACGGGGATGCAGAGCAGTTGCCTCTGGGAAGGAAAAGGCACGCTGAGTCAGTTCCTGCCGGAGGACTGGGGAAGGGGCAGCTGTGCGGTGATGCGGGCTGGGGGCTCTCCCTGGCTCCATGTGGGAAAGTGCATGGGCTCACCCTGTCCCTACCGGCCGGCGTGGGGAGGTGCTGGCTTCCCTGTGGGGCTACTGCAGCACCCATCCTTGGCCGTGTCCCTTGGCACTCCCTGGGGAGCAGGTCCATGGTGGGGCTGCCCCTGCTCTCAGCAGGCTCCCAAGCCCCCCACGGGGGATGGTTAAAGCACCGCAGGGAGCTGAGCCTCTGTGTGGGTGAGTTGGCGTGTGGCACCCGAGGTGACACATCCCGTTGTCACCACAGTGCCTTCAACAAGTGCAGGTAGGAGCAGACGGAGGGGCAGGTGCTCCTGGATATCCCAACTACCTGCTTCGAGGACTCCCATCACAAACTATCCCAGTGCCCCAAACCACCTGCCTTGCACCTTCCCAGCTACCTCCGGATTTGGGGTGTTTCAGGGACAGTGCAGCCGGTTTTGCCACCTGCCTCCCCAGCGGCTGGGGATTTGTTCTTCTCCCCCTGCATTCCCTCGGTGCCATCTCCAGAACGTTGCTTACAACCAGGGATTAAAAGCGCACACAACCCCCCTCACTCATCCCCCTCCAGCCTGCTGGCGCCCGGCTCCTTGTGCCATTCCCAGGGGCTGTTACGGAGCAGGAAGATGTGTGTGGCTGTAAAAGTGTGCAGAGCCGCTGCTCGGCCCTTCTTTAATTAAGAGCTCGCTCCGCATAAACTGCCTTTCCCAGCCGAGCTGGACTCATTACTCGATTATTAAGCAGGGCAGGAAGTTTTGGGTTTGCTCTTGTGTGTGCTTTTTTCTTCCTTTTCCCAACAGGAAGCGGGGGAGGGGCACTAATTACTTTCAGCTTTCCATCCATAAAATCCTGGAGCCGCAGAAGCAGCTAAAGAGTTAAAAAAAGACCAATTTTGAGAACAGACCACCTGCAGGAGCTGGAAAGCAGGGGGCAGAGGCCTGCTTGTGAGGAGGTGGCCCAGGTTGGTGTCTGTGGCTCTGACATGCCTTTGGTTATTGTTTGGCCCAGCAGTATGCATCCAAAAGCACCACATGGGCTGTGCCTTACCCCCATACACACATGTCATGGCTGTCACTGATTCAGATGGGAAGCCCTTCCTGCATCATTCAGGCTGTCGCTTCATCCCGGCACCCACCAGGGAACGCTGCCAGCTCCCTCTCAATGGGCTTCAGCTAACACTGACTGGTTAGGCAAGCGATGAGAGTTGTGAGAAACCTCCTCCTCAGCAATCCTTCCTGCTCTCAGCTGTGTTCCTGGCTTTGTCCAGAGCCTGGCTGGGATGCAAACCTTTCAGAGTGAAGGGATAAACCGGGTGGAGGACAGCCTAGGCTCGACTGAAAAATCCCACTGGCATTCAAACACAAATGCAGCCTTAAAACACTGGCAAAAAGAAATGCTGCCTGTTCTGAATCACAAAAGCGCAGCCCATTGGCACTTGGGCTGTTGCTGCATTTGCTCCCTGCCCTGTCCAAGCACCCCGAACCCAGGGAACCCTCAGATGCTGTTCCACAGCTTGGGGCAGTACCTCTGACCTCTCCAAGTTATGCCCAGGTCTGGATCAGCCATCCCAGGGTGGTAGATGTGTCCCAGATCCCTCCTCTTCTGAACCCAATGCTCATTTCCTAAACATACTTATTGCTACTAGGAGGGCTGTTGGGGTAAGCAGAGGGCTGGGGTCCAGGATAAGGACACCCTCGAGTCCAGCTCAAACCCTCTGCAGCCACAGGCAATCCTTTCTGTCCTTTATCTGCCCACACACACCTTTGGGGCTCTGTGATGGAGAACTGCACCAGAAGCCAGGCCTAAGAAGGAGTTGCCATTGCTTTTTCACCTCATTTTCAGAAGGAAACCTCCCAAAGCATCATCCCTGGCATCAAGGCTATGGTGGGATGTTCCTCTGCCCTTGGTCCCCTGTGCTTGCGCAGGCAATGAGCACTGCACGGCGAAGCCAGAGGCTGCATAGTGAAACCTCAGCTTTTTTTTTTCTCCCTGCTCTGTTTAATGCCACAGGAACTAAACACACCATAAAGCCACTGCCCGCAGCCCGGCTGTTTCATCCAGGTAGCACAGTTTCAGAATGGGGATAGCAAGGGGGGGGGGGCAGCCGGCGATTAACGGGAGGAACCATTTGGTGACCACCTTGTGTGACCATCTGTAACAGATTACGGTGTCAGCGCTCGTAAAAGCCGGGATTCAATCAAGCGCCCGGCAGGTAGCAGGGGCCCCGCTGGCAGGGGCCGCGGTGCCGGGGTGCAGGCTGTGCCGGCTCCGGGCTGCCGCGCTCCCGGCCGGCACGGCCACGGCGAGGAGCGTTTGAACTCCGCTGTTTAATTTCCACGGCCCTCCGCAGGACCTTTAAAGGAGCACGCACGTCCCCTGGGCTCCTGGAGCCCTTTCAAAGGCTCTGGGGAAACCACAAAGTGCCTTTTCTTCACAGAAAGGACCAGTCTTTTCCCCCTTCCCTGCAGGGCTGATGCAGAATTAAGGGTGTTTGGAAACCCACCCTGGTATGGGGCAGAGAGCTGGAACAAATGCACGCAGAGACTCTGGGTTTAAAAGGGCTTTAAGGCTTCCATGCTGCTGTTTGAAATCATTCTGTCTCTGCAGGCATCCTGAGCATCCCACGGGAACAAGAAGGGAAGTGGGTGGATTACAGGCACCTTTGCAAAGGCTGCTTCTGCTTGGAGATTTTGGGGATGTAGTTCCCAAAATTGCTTTGTTCACTGCTTTCTGTCCCTCTCTCTTTCAAGGATAGGCACAAGGCATGCGGGGCTGTTGTGCCACAAGGGTGAAGAGCAGCTCTGGGAACCTCAAAACATTCCCTCCACCTCCAGGGCTGTAGGAAGGAAAAGGGTTTCCACTTTCTTCTCCTGCCATTGCACAACTATCTGAGAGAAATGTTCTCCTTGATCCATGCAGCCTCTGAAGAAGAGTTCCCAGCATCTAAGCATGCTGCCCCCAACGAAGGCAGGCAAAGCTCAGCCCTTACAAAGTGTAGCAGCCTAATTCTTCTTTTGGCTCTTGTCTTACCTAGAAAAAGCTGAATAAATAATCAGAAACCATGCAGAATCCAGGGAAAAGCTTGTTATTGAAGTCAGCCACCGGACGCCTGTTTCTGATTTGGGGAAGGAATGACCAGAGCTCTGCAACAGAAGCCAGGATGGCTCATGGGGCAATCACCAGTTTCCCATTCGAGATACCTGGAACTGTGGGAGGTCGTGGAAGATGTGTGTGCATTTATCCTTGGCAGGACAAGGGCAGCAGGTGCCTGTGCCCATGCAGGGCTCCATGAGCCCCTGTCAACAGGCAGTGCTGGTGAAAGCCCCCGTCCATTAACAGCTTGCCATAAGGAGCTAGGTCTACAAACAAACTGCAGGTGTAGCTGTTGTTTTTTTTCTGGCTCTGGGCTATTGACATGAGCAATAATCTCAAATTAATCTTTAATCGGATGATGAACTGATAGCGTGGGGCTGCCGAGCTGTGAGGCTTCCCATGGAGACAAAGAGCATGGCAAATGCAGAGAGAGGGGGACCTGGGGAAGGGAGGCAAGGCTGGAGGATTAAAATAAAGATGATTTCTCCCTGTGGATGCAGGCAGGGTGGGTTGCAGCATCACTGTGGTCTTGCTGCCGGCTGTGCTTACTGTCCAAGGGCACTGCCTCTTCCTGGCCATGCTGCTTGTGAGCATCTCCATGTCTGCTGGGAGGCAATGCCCACCGCAGGGCAAAGCATCAGCCACCTGCTGAAACAGCACGAGTGCAAGCACCTCGCTGCCTCAAAACTCAGGCCATAAATCCCCCTGCCAGAGGCTGGCTTTCTCCTGGGTGAAGTGAGCACAAACTCCCCACCCCAAGCACACGGGGCTCACCCTGAGGGTTGAAAAACCCCTTCCCGGGCCTGTCTCACCTCCAACTATTTATTTCCCCTGTGTGAATGTCCTGGCAGCAGCCAGTGTGCCCACAGGGGTTTAGGAGGCTGCAGAGGGATGGACAAGCCCAATGCCATTGTGGGTTAAATGGTTGATTCTTTTGTTTTGTTCTCAGCCAGTCCTGATGGTGGTGAAAGCTTTGGGGGCCACCAGTGCTGCCCCCCCTTATGGGTGCAAGCTCATGTGGGGTGGGAGCAG